ACTAATAAATTTTATTAATTATCTATTTCATGGAACAAATAAACACAAATAAACACAAAGATAGATAACTGAACATACAGATAACATAGTTTTAATTCATGTGCAAATGAATAATATAAAATAATTAGGTTAATTATAATAATTTTAAACATATAATAATTCAATTATTAGTAAGCTAGATAATTTATCAAATAAATAAGTATCGTAATTATTATTTAAATGCATTATATGTACATGTAGGGTTCAATTTGTTTGGTTAATTTTTTTTAAATATTAATCCATAATATACGAAGAAATAAAGAAAAAAACAAGTAATCAATATAATGTATACAATTTATTCTTTCGTTAGTTACTAAATTACTAATAAATGAACTCTCTCTCCTTAATCATGAAAATAGAATGTATAAATCAAGTTAGGATTATTTATCTTGCTGAACTTTTGCTAGTAAAAATAATAATAAAAATTATCAAAATAGAATATTCATAAAATATTTTTCTGTCAAGAATATTTTTTACCATGTCAATGTAAGTGACGACCTCTTTACAACCTTTCCATAGTCAACACTTATTATTTTTTTATCATTAAAAAATAAGTGTTGACTATATAAAGGTTGGCATTTTTTTAATATTAAAAAAATAAATTTAATAATTATTAGATTGAAAGATAGTAGCAGAGGTATTAAACATTTTTAAATACATCATGCTGCATTTCTCTCTTTTTTTTTGGTTCTTTGGCCAACTGGGTGATGGTACTTTCATTCCTTATTCTTAAGCCATTATTATCAATACCAAGAAAAAAAGAGTGAAGTTTTAACAAGTTTTGTTAAGCATGAATGTTGTTAGTTCACAACAAAGAGGTAATAATAGAGAAATCAACTCAGACAATGTTAAACTATGCAGGTTAAAGTTCAAGTCATTTATTACCTTTTCTAAAACTACCAATTCAAGCATCTCCATTTTATACAAGTTACTCGTGTATTCAAATTTTTAAGAGTTGCATATCCCTACATTTGGAATTCATATCTAAAATAAGATGCAATGCAAAATATATTGGAAACATTTATTACTTATAATCTTTCAATCTAATAATCATTAAATTTATTTTTTTAATGAATATTCTATTTTGATAATTTTTTTATTTCTACCCTATTTTGACAAAAAAAATTCACACTATGATACTAAAAAAGACAATTCATGTTACTTCATTTCACTAAATCATATTTCAGTCCATATCTAATAAAAATCACTTTTCAATAATGTAATATGAATACAAGTACAAATAATTCAAACATATAACTTAATACTAGCAATGACATCTAATATGTCCTGTACCATATTACCTATTATTCATATTCAATTTTATAATATAGATTTCAAATTAATATGCTTTAATAATTTATCATTTACTCCAATTATTGACTATTTTTAATGACTTAAAATTAAATATAACGTTGTTGATAAACTCAAATAAGTAGAAGCAAATTAAATTTAACAACTGTACTAATTATTTTAACGAGTATGAATCTAATCACTTTTACAGGAATTATTTTCTTCATTCAATAATAAATACAAAACTTAGCTAACACATAATCAAAGAACAAGTTTACGTATATTATTACAAATGAAATAAAGAGATAAAACACAAACGATTAAGGTAAAAATTCATATATTATTACAAATTGGATTTCATGTAAAATCTTACTTCAAGGAGGACAAGAAACTTTAACTCAATTTTCACAACTACATTACATGATTCAATTCTCTGGTAAGGTAATGTTCAATTTCTTGATATAAAACACTATAGTTTAAAATCCTAAAATCGTAAGTAAATTTAATTTCGGAACAACATTTAAGCATTGAAATTTATAACAATTACACAGAATTTGCATTGCAATACCAATTTGACATAATTGACTTAATGAGGTTTTATGAAGCATCATAAGACATCAGATATTCACTGTTGACCTAAAACTTTGATGGCCTTTTATATGGATTTTTATTAACTTTTTGTAACCAAATCCGAAAGACCAAAAAATGTGCGTCCATCCATATGGTACCAACTGTAATTTTCACCTTGGGAGCTACACTGAACACGGTTCCCAACATATGCTTAATCAAGGGGTTCATAAATGAAAGTTTCAGAAGTTCATATGTGGCCTACTTTCTCTCTCTAGGGAAGAAAAATTATGATTAAATTAACTAAGTTGGTATTGCCTATGGTCAATGTGTGTGTTTGGTACTTGCTGAGAGTTGTCGGTCTTCTAGCTTATTTGTGGTGTGAGATTGGCATGCTGTATTGGATACGTCTTCTTGGACTGTTAAAGCTACTGAAACTCGAAAGCACTTAAACAAGAATATGTTAATTTTTGCTATTTGCAAGTTCTACTCACTAAATAACTTTAAAGAAATCAAGTGGGAAGACAAGCATAGGGAACAATGACAACAACATTGTAAAACCGGGAATCTGCTTTCGGGGATCCTCTTTAAATGTTTTCTTTTATCACTCACGCAAGAATTTTAATATTTGTTCCTTTCAATTTTTAGTGTACCTGATGTTTTATATATTTTTCGTAAAAAATAGCGAGATTTTTACTTGAACATTTTTTCTATTTCTTGTGAGCTTTATGGATTTAAATTAACCTGTTAATATTTTAAGAAAAAGAGGTGCAAAAATTTCGTACTTTTTTGTAAAATATTCGCAGAAAGTATTTCCCGTGGATTTACTTGCAAAATCCTTTAGTGAATTTATTTATAAATAAATTACTTGGAAATTTACTTGTGAAATTTCAGAGACTTCCTAACAAGATCCACAAGAAAGTTTGGAAAATATCACTTTTTTATGAAAATTATGGCTATGGGAAAGAAATTATATTTTGCTGCAAAATTTTCCTACAAATTCTAAAATTTGCAGGAAAACAATTATCCACGAGTTTTTCTTGTGGATTGCATCAACTAAAAAGTTCACAAGACATTATTTTTCTGTGAATTTTTAATTTTAAGAATTTAGTTATAATGTATAAATAATGTAAAAGTTATTATACTATTATTTAATTATAGATTTCCGTATAATTAAAAATTTTCGACAGTGACCTCCTCAGAAACAATGTTAAAAAAATTACGATTACATTATAGCAAAAGTAAATTCAATAAAATACTAATATCTATAGCAAAATGTGGTGTACCTTGAGTCAACATTCCTTGACTAAGATTAGAAGCTTACAACAAAATCGCTTGCAATTACGATGGGCGTCACTCTCCGTATCATCCTCGAATTTAAAATGAAGATATTCACTTGGAATATAAAATCTCAGCCACTCAAAAGTCCACAAAACATAATAGAAACAAATGCTATAATTATGCTTCTGACCTCGAAATGTTTTACTAGCTTCAAGACACTATCATTGGATGCCTCTTGAAATCCATGGGATGGAGAGTTCTTGTCTGCAACTGCAAGAGATAATTCTCAATAAGCTTTTTTAATAATATTAATATATTAAACCTTGTAATCTTAATAAAATCTTATCAAATATAAATTTTTATTACGCCTGGTTGGTTCCATGTTAGAAAAAATGTTCTGCATAATGACCTCTCTTTAAATCTTCCCATACTAGTTCAGGCCTTAAGCAGCTTCAATCAACTTTAATTATTTGAAGTTCAAAGTGGCAAGTTCTTAATAGCAACTATTCCCAAATTCTCGTTCATGGCAATTCTTTCAGTTGGAAATTAGTCAAGTCAATAGATGGGATTAATAAATTAGCTCACATAAATTTTATGTTAAGGTCTTTTGAAATGTTATTATTTTAAAAAGAACAAACTCTAAATAAATTCATGACGATTTTTAGGTTTAATAGATTATTCTTTTTAGGTAAATATAAATAATGTAATGATATTATTATTGTGTAGGCTTTTATCACCAACTAACGTTATTATTATTGCATTAAGTTTTTCTTATAATATTAGAGATTATATATATGTTGGTATATTTAAAAGCTTAATTTTATTTATTTATATAAAAAATTTACAATCATTAACCTGTTTGAAGTTAGACTTTTAGATCTGTTTAAAAAATTTATCACAAAATAAGCTTCTAAATGAACATTCAAGTTAAGTTATACTTTTTCTCATAACTTAATAGAGGGACCTATGTCAAATTAAATTTAGGAAACAGATTTAGCCTAAGTCCTCAAAAGCCATTAAACATATTGCTATTTGTTAACAAATAATTTTTTTTAAGTATTAAGATAGCATTTGTTAGTATGGTCTTTATCTAATAAAAATAAATTATTAGTATAAACATAAAAATTATACTAACAAATAATTTTATTAATAAAAATATTAATATATACTATCAAAATATCAAATGTCAGTGTAACGTATCATTTGTTAGTATAAAATTTCAAAATTTATACTAAATTTATTTTGTGTTAAATAAAGATTGTATTAGACAATTTTTGTAGTGAACATGACTGAATCCAACTTCTTTCTATACTTAAAAATTTACAATTTTATATGAACTATCCATAAACTGTTACGATTTTAACATTTTAGAAATGTTAATATATATGATATTACAATAACCTTTAAGATCAAATTGTAATTGGGAGTTCATGATGCTTTTTATACTGTTGAAGTTCAATGATACTTTAAAAGTTTGGACCAATAAAAATAAAATAAAACCATTTACATTACATGACCACCAAATAATTTGGTCTTTGAAGAAAAATAGTAATTTGGCACAGATTCTCTTGGTTGTTTCTCAATTATGACACTACATCAAAACAAGACAAATTGCTGAAAATTTGTGACCACATATAACAATCCCCTGACCGAGTATGATTATAAAAACTAGTATAATAATTAATATAAAGTGGAACAAGAATTCTACCCGTGACTCCATGTGCTGCCATTTCTTGTTCACGGGTCCATAACATGTGGTATATTAGAGTTCCTCTCTTGTATATATAAGTTACAAAATCATAGTCCCACAACCCATTAAACGTTCATTGAGTTAGAAACAGGTAAGTGGTAGTACACTGTGGTTGTTGATGATGGAAGAGAGGAAGTGGGTATCACTACTGCAGCTTATGGTGGTGCTGATAATGGCTTCTTCTATGTCAAAAGGGTCCAAAGGCTTTAGTCTCTGCAACATGGATGATGATGGATTGGAGGCTTGCAAGCCATCAGTGACTCAGCCAAACCCAGTTGATCCATCTCCTGAGTGCTGCAATGCTCTTTCTGGGGCTGACTTGAAATGTCTTTGCTCTTACAAAAATTCTACAGAGTTACCCTTTTTTGGAATTGACCCTACTCTTGCTACTTCACTTCCTTCCAAGTGCCATCTCACTCCTCCAGATAATTGCTAAGCTTCTCAGATCAATTTCTGTAGACCTGTTTCTCATGCTCATCATATCTGTTCCTGCCAATTAATGGCCTTTTTTATATGTTAAAAAATAATATATGTGCCAGTTAAACGTTTCTGTATTGATATATATGTGCTCCTGCAAAATTATATATATATTGTGTGTAACATGTTAAATGAGAAATTTTTTTACGTGAAGATATTGCTTATATATTGTCATAAATTGTTCTTATCAAAGCATAAAGGGTGTGAAACGTTTTTAAAAAATTATAATAATTATTTAAATTGATCATGTAAGTTACAATTATGATATATTTGGAAGCATGTTAGAAAATTTTGATCTAAAATTACTCTCACTAAATAAGGTAATGTTTGACAGAATTAAGAGAAAACTTGGGCATTACTTTCACATGCAATTTTTCATTCTATTTTTAACGAATCAGACACACACAAAATTATAACCTGCGTAACGCTAGAAAAGTTTAGAGAACATTGAATACATTTTGAAAGTAATAAGCAAAGTTCAAGGAATAATTTAGAATTTTCCCTACAAATTATGATCAAAGGCCTAAGGAAAATAGAAAAAAAGGATCAAATTCAATAAAAAAGAAAAAAGGAAATAATTAACTTAACTAATAACTACCAAACCAATTAAAATTATTAAATTTTTCGACTTTCAATATTGTCTATTAGGAAATATATGAAAGCTGTGAAATTTTCGGAAAAAGAGGCATATATTGAAGAAATTTACTCATTTCGTGTGTGTAAATGAGTGAAGAAATTAGGTTTTTTTAATTTAATTATTGTTTATTTAAAAATAAATTACTAAATTATTGTTTTTTTTTAGAATTAATTCTTATTGTTTTTTTTAGAATTAATTCTTTGTATGAGATGATTTTGGTGACGTGTTAACAGTTTTGTCATTATTGTTAGTAATTTTTTATTTTAAAATAAGTATTGCCTCAAATTCGCGATATTAAAAGTAGTATCACCGTAATAAAGCAAAACATACAGGGCGTCAACACATAACATTATCTGCCAAGGATTTTGATAACCTTAGTATAACGATAACTTTAGTATAAGTTCGAGAATAAGAAAGTAATAATAATAAAATTTTATTAGAAAAAATATTTATTCTGTTTTTATAACTTTAATATAGTAATTATATATTTTTTTATAAGTTTTTATTTATTTATAAATATTTAAACTCAACCTTAAAAGCTTAAGTTAACAAAATCTTTATAAAAAACTGAAAGAAAGATTTTAAGAAACTACATTAAAGATGGACATAAAGTAGATTTACACAAAACTAATTTAAATTTATTTTAAATTTAATTATATAAATTGTATTTCAAATTAATCTATTTTATTTTTAAAAACCAATTTAAAATTTATTTTAAAAATTAAATTTGGTTTAAAATAGTTTTAAGTTCAGTTTTAGTCAAAATTGGTTTTAAATTTAATTTTGCTCAAAATTAATTTTTCTTATACAATAAGATACTCCAAATCTAGACAATTTTTCTATACACAATAATACAAATATTTTTCCAATGTGAATGGCCAAAACTACCGTTTTATATTATTAGCATCATCCACACAATTAGCAAAGTGAATCTTGTTCATAATCTCCATGAACCTTTTAAGCCCTTAAACTTTTCAAATCTGCAAACATACTCATTCAGTCCACCACGTAAACCAAAAACTGTAATTAAAAACTTTATGCTGCTAAAGCTTTAAAAGGATTAAGATCCACATAACAATGGATACAAGTATCAAAAAGAAGAAAAATAACAGCCAGTTTCCAGAGTAATCCCTGCAAAGTTATAAAAAAGTATGATAAGCATGTTAGTGTTGGAACAAGCAAATTAATCGGATCTCATTATTATGTGTGCAGCGGATGCCTACATCAAAGTGAATTTTATTAGCAAGTAATTGATTATTAAATTCAATTTTTTGTGAATACTTGATTAGAAATAAAATCTCACACAACCACTCATGTTATTAAAAAATATAGTCAATAAAATATAATAATACTAATATTCGTACAAAGGAAGATGATATGAATTTCACTCAATAGGATTTTTTTTGAAACAAACACTTAATACTTTGCCGTGTATTAGAGTTGTTTTTTATAAGTTACAATGTATAATATAATAATAGTAAATGTTTCTTAATCATGAAGAAAGCAGAAAGTACACCATGTGATTTGTTTATAGCCTTTTTTAATTTGAATTTTTTCACAATCGGTGCCTATTTTACTGCGGCCTTTTATCAGGCCATTGAAATTGAATAGCTTTGTAATAAGGTAAGATTTGGTCCAATAAAAGCTTGCAGTGCATACTTGATTTATTTTTGATATTGCCTCCCTTAGATCAAGTGTTTAATTTAATCATTCTGAGCATTTTCTTTAACTTGTAAAATAGCTCAGTTTTCAGTGGTTTTGTAAAAATATCTGCAACTTGTTTTTCAGTTGGACAATATTTGATCGCTACTTCTTTTTCAACTACCAGTTCTTAGATTTTATGAAACCAAATATCTATGTGCTTGGACCGTCCATGAAATACTAGATTTTTGCATAATGCAATTGCTGACTTGTTATCACAAAATATCATCGTAGGAGTATCTTGCTTCTGATAGCATCACTTCAAGCAATCTTCTCAACCACACTGTCTGGGTTGCACAACTAGTTGCTGCCATGTATTCTGTTTTGGCTGTTGAACGAGCGACAACAAGTTGTTTCTTTGAGGACCACAATATTGCACTACTGCCAAGATGAAATGTATATCCTGATGTGCTCTTCCTTGTTTCTACATCTCCTGCCTAATCACTGTCTGTATAGCCAACAAGTTTAACATCATTATTTTTAGCATAAAAAATTTCCTCAGTTAGAGTACCTTTGATATATCTCATAATTCTTTTGGCTCCTTGCAAATGACACACACGTGGCTCTTCCATGAATCTGCTCAGCAGTCCTACTCCAAAGGCAATATCTAATTTAGTAGTAGTCAAATATTTGAGGCTTCCAATCAAGCTTTTGTAAAATATTGAATTAATTCTTCTTTCATCACTATCCTTTTTCAGCTTCAACTTCTCTTCAACAGGTTTTGAGATTGACTTTGAGTTCTCCATCTTGAAAATTTTCAAAATGTTTGCAACATGTTTCTTTTGTGAAATGAAAATTCCATCATTCTGTTGAACAACCTCAATGCCAAGAAAATATGACATTAAGCCCAAATCTGTCATCTCAAAACTTTTAACAATGGCCTCCCTGAATTCTGCAATCATCTTTGGATTATTGCTAGTGAAAATCAGATCATCAACATAAAGGCACATAATAAGAATATTATTAGGGTCAACATATTTGATATATATAGTATGTTCAAACGGGCATCTCTGAAAATCATTCTGCACAAAGTAAGAATCAATCTTCTTATACCACACCCTAGGTGCCTGCTTCAAGCCATACAATGCCTTTTTCAATTTGTAGACTTTATCTTCTTTTCCTTCAACTTCATATCCTACAGGTTGCTCAACATATACTTGTTCTTCCAAAATACCATTCAGAAAAGCAAACTTAACATCCATTTGATGAATTTTCCAATTATTTTGAGCTGATAGAGAGATAAGCATACGAATTGTATCTAATCTCGCTATAAGAGCAAATACCCCAAAATAATCAATACCTGGCTTTTGTTTGTAACCTTTTGCTACTAACCTCACTTTGAAGCGGTCAATTTCTCCATTGGGTTTGTACTTATTTTTGTATACTCACTTTACTCTAATTGGCCTTTTGTCTGTTGGTAAGTCTGTCAGCTCCCATGTTTGATTCTTCCCAATGTCATGGATTTCTTCATCCATTGCTTTTTTCCAATGTTGATTATTTGAAACTTCTTCAAATGTTACAGGTTCACAATCTGCAAATAAGGCAAAATTGATAATTTCTTCATCAGATGGGTCATTGTCATTACCCACAGCATAATCCTCCAATCTAGCTGGTGATCTCTGATGCCTTTGTGGTCTGCTTGATGTTTCTGACTCATCAGGTGTTGGACCTACATGTCCGTTCTCCTCTTCATAATTTTCTAGAATTATTGCAGTCTCCTTTTGGGCTTTGGAAGACCAATCCTATATTCCTTCTTCATCAAAGGTCACATCTCTGCTGATAATTACCTTCTTTGTCATTGGATTGCAAAGCTTGTACGCCTTTGAATTGGTGTTGTAACCAATGAAGATGCAATTCTCTCCTTTGTCATCGAGCTTCTTTCTGAGTTGATCTGGTACATGGGCATATGCTATACACCCAAAAAGTTTGAGATGCCGGATTGAGGGCTTCCTTCCACTCCTAGCTTCTTCTGGTATTTTATCACAAACACTCTTTGTTAGACACCTATTCAAAATATACACAGCAGTAGAAACTACTTTTGCCTAAAATTCTCTAGGCAGTTGTTTTGCCTTCAACATGTATCTTACCATGTTCATAATTGTCCTGCTCTTCCTTTCTGCTACTCCATTTTGTTGGGGAGTGTTTTTGGTTGTCAATTGATGCTAAATTTCGTGTTGATCAAAGAGATCTGCACCGGCAAGATATTCTTGGCCTCCATCTATCCTTAATGCTTTAATTCTGCAACCACTTTATTTCTCCACAAATGCCTTAAATGACTTAAAGACATCACAAGCTTCTGATTTCTGTTTCAAAAATACACCCAAGCTTTTATGCTAAAGTCATCAATAAAGGTAATAAAATACCTGCTACCGCCATGAGTTGGTATCTCAACTATGCATAAATCTAAATGGACAATTTCTAATAGCTTTCTTGCTTTCTAGTTCTTTCCAGTTAGAAAGGATTCTCTGTGTTTTTTTTTCTTTCCAATTTCACGTCTCGCATATAATTTCAGGAATGTTTATAACAAATAAACCAGATACATATTCTTTTCTAGATAAAAAATTTAATCCAGAAAATTGATAATGTCCAAAGTGCATGTGCCATAACCAATCATTATTTTGTATAATGGAACTTAGATAAGTAATTTTATTATGTTGAACCTTCAAAGGGAATAGGCGATTAGGAGTTACTTTTACCTTGGCAATGAATCTCTCATTTTTATCAATCAATATACACTAGTCATCACAAATTTGCATGTTGTAGCTTTTCTCTGATAATTGTCTCATGCTCAACAAATTGTGATGAAGACCAGGGGCATAGAAGACATAAGAGATGAAATTTTGAGAACCATCCTTCAATCTGATAGCAATTCAGCCTTTTCCCAAAATAGGAATATTTGAATTATTTCTGAATTTTATGGTAGATTTTACCGTTTCATTTAGTGAGGAAAATAACTCCTTTTTTCCACACATGTGGTTGCTGCAGCTTGTATCTAAGTACCCGATATTTCCATCGCCTACGAAATTATTTACTACTAGAAGTTAAGTTTGGGGATTATCAGAACTCTCACCAGCATATTGATATTAATTTTCTGCCATATTTGCTTGTTGTTTGTATCTACAATCTACAGCTTTGTGTCTGAACTTTCCACAGTGGTAACAATTAAAGTTTGTCCTCTCTTGGTGGTTGAAGCCTCCTCTTCCACAATTGGCAGATCTGAAATTGTGTTCACCTCTGTCTTTATTAGATGTTCTGATATATCTCCATTGTTGATTAAAATTACAATGACCTCTTCCTCTGAAGTTACCACGACCTCTACTTCTAAAATTTATATTTCCACCTTCATGACCTCTACTATCTTCACTTTAGTTGGATTCTGCTACGTTGGTAAAATTCACCTGGCTCTTCAAAGCTTCTTCATTTACCTTTTTTGTTTTCTCCAAAATTCTGCTCACATGGCTTTCAATGCTACCTTGCAACTCTGCAACTATCATGGTGTCAGTGTCGTGGGACTCAATTATTATAGTCACCACATGATCGAACTTTATTAGCATGGTGCGTAAAATTTTCTTCACCACCTTGATCTCAGGGATGTCTTCTCCATATACCCTCATCTTATTGACAAGATCTATTACCTGTGAAAAATATTGTTCCACAGTTTCTGAATTGGACATCTCATATCTTTCATATTCTTGACGCATGGATTCTGAGCTTTCTCTACTCCTTTGTATGACAGCTTCAAAATGTCCCACGCTTCTTTGCCTGTTTTGGCATTTGCTACTTTGCCAAAAATTGAATAATCTACACCTTGGTGAATTTGTGATAGCACCAACTGATCCTTTCTTTGAGCAGCATCCTTAGCTCCTTGTTGTAAGCCTGGTTCAATAAAGCTCTAAATATTGTGAGCTTTCAAATGGATAGACATCAACAATGCCCAATAATTGTAATCTAGTTTCCCATCTAATTTGGGACCAGAGCAAACAATATTGTAGTTTGTGCCCATCTTTCTCTCTCAAATAGATTCTAAAAATTTTGATAAAGTAGAGACTCTCTTGTTCCTTACACACTCAAACCTTTTGACACAAACTCTCTCACAAACTCACAAAACCAATGCTGGATCTAACTAGCTCTAATACCAGTTTGTAGTCAATGAAACATAATAATACTAAAATTCGTGCACACAAAATTAAGAGGAAGAGAATATGAATTTCACTCAATGGGAATTTTTTTGGAACAAACACTTAATATTTTGCCATGTACTAAAGTTGCCTTTTATAGGTTACAATCTATAATATAATAATAGTAAATGTTTCTTAATCATGAAGAAAGCGTAAAGTACACCATGTGATTTATTTGCAGCCTTTTTCAGTTTGAATTTTTCCACAATCGGTGCCTACTTTACTGCTACCTTTTACCAGGCCATTGAAATTGAATAGCTTTGTGATAAGGTAAGATTTGGTCCAATAAAAACTTGCAGTGCATACTTGATTTATTTCTGACAAAAAATGTTCTAATAGTGATAACATATACCCAGTCCACCGGTTAGCATGATATTGTCCGCTTTGGGGGTTAACCCCTCACAGTTTTGTTTCTCCAAGATATGACACACTAGGAAAAGGCCTCATGCTAGAAGGAAGGACGCCACAACTATTTAAAGACTGATAAGTCACTCCCCCCAACCGATGTGGGACTCATCATCCCTTCCCTCTTCGAGAGAGTCTGCCACAGACGCACTGATAAGGCACTTAAGCCACCACGGATACGCCGATAAGGTCCACCGGCTCCGGCCCAGGCTCTAATACCAATTGATAACATACACTCAGTCCACCGGTTAGCATGATATTGTCCGCTTTGGGGGTTAACCCCTCACAGTTTTGTTTCTCCCAGATATGACACACTAGGAAAAGGCTTCATGCTAGAAGGAAGGACGCCACAGCTATTTAAAGACTGATAAGTCACGATGATGAGTCCCACATCGGTTGGGGGGAGTGACTTATCAGTCTTTAAATAGTTGTGGCGTCCTTCCTTCTAGCATAAGGCCTTTTCCTAGTGTGTCATATCTGGGAGAAACAAAACTGTGAGGGGTTAACTCCCAAAGCGGACAATATCATGCTAACCGGTGGACTGAGTGTATGTCATCAATTGGTATCAAGAGCTTTGGTTAGAATTGGATTGAAAAGTACTGTTCATTGTACGTTGCTCATTGAAAAAAAAAGAGAGAAAAAAAAATACTGCAAAAAAAATAAAAAATTTGCAACATACAAAAGTGTGTTTTTGATATATTTCTTCTAATCTTTCACTTATTTTGCTTGATTCCATACAAAAAAAAAATATAGTAGTTGTTTAACGTTACATACTCTTCTTTAAATTTTCCAATTTTGTCTTATTTGCAATCTATTTTTGAGTGTGCTTATTTCTTATTTAGTCTTTTTTTTTTCTATTGTCTTGTTGGCTTCCTTAGTTTTGTCTTAGAGTTTTCTTTTGTTGGCTTCACTTAAGTATCATTGATTGATTGTCTCTTGGTTTTGGTTAATTGTGTGGATTGGAGGTTGACTTCCTTAAGAACTCTTGAGAGCACTTGAGAGGAAAAAGGTAAGAGAGAAATCCTTAGACAAAAGCCAATTTAGAGTGAAACACGAGTGAATATCTATTGAGTGAAAACACTTAGCGAGTGGAGAGAACCTTTTCTTTTTGCATTAACTTTTATTGTTTTGTAGAATGTCTCAAGAAGGAGGATCAAGTAGAGAGAGCACTTCTGCCTCGCAAATTGAAAGACTTGCTCAAAGATTTGAAAGCATGTTTGAGAGGCAAAATGAAGCAATAAGGAATGTTCAAGAGACGTTGGCAAATAATGCAAGAAGGCGGTCATGTGATCGTTCTCCACATGTCCATGGAGACTCTAGTAATTCTTCAAGAGAAAAAAGAAGAAATAGAAAAGATGATGAAGAAAGGAGGTATGATAGGTGGAGAGATAATAGAGAGAGGAGGAATCAAAGAAGAAGAAGAGAAGATGTAAGAATAAGAGAAAATGAGAGAATTGGTGGAGTTAAAATGAAGATTCCTAGTTTTAATAGAAGGAATGATGTTGAAGCATACTTAGAGTGGGAATTGAAGATAGAGCAAGTATTCTCATGCCATGATTATAGTGAAGAAAAGAAAGTAAAGGTGGCTTCCCTAGAGTTACACGACTACGCGTTGGTGTGGTGGGATCAAATTCAAAGGGACCGAAGGAGATATGATGAGGAGCCTGTAGATACGTGGATTGAAATGAAGAACCTAATGCGTAGGAGATTTGTTCCTACATACTACAATAGAAAGCTTCATACAAAGCTTCAAGGTTTGAGGCAAGGTGGCAAAAGTGTTGATGACTATTATAAAGAAATGGAAGTTGCCATGATATGAGCTAATGTATTTGAAGAAAGAGGAGCAACAATGGCTCATTTCTTAAATGGGTTGAACCATGACATCCGTGACATAGTGGAACTTCATCCCTATGTGGAACTTGAAGATTTGGTTCACCAAGCTATTAAAGTAGAAGCACAACTAAAGAGAAAGGGTACTTTAAGGAAGAATATCTCCTCCTATAACTCAAAAGGATGGAAGGAAGGAGTGAAGAAGGAAGGAACATTAACTAAGGACATGACTGTCCAAAGTGGTAAACATTCACCTAAAACTTCTTTTAATCCTACTAATGCTTCTGTTTCTTCTACTTCTCGACATAGGGAAATTAAATGCTTCAAGTGCCTTGGAAAGGGTCATATTGCATCACAATGTCCGAACAAGAAAACCATGATTTTGAGAGAGAATGGTGAGATCTCAAGTGCTAGTTCATCTCAATCATCACACGCTTCAAGTGAAGAGGATAGTGAGTTTGAAGCTTTATGTCACGAGGGAGATTTGCTTATGGTAAGGCGTCTCTTGGGTAGTTTAGCTAAGGACAATGATACCACACAAAGAGAAAATATTTTTCATTCAAGATGTTTGGTACTTGGAAAGGTTTGTTCTCTTATTGTTGATGGTGGTAGTTGTACCAATGTGGCTAGTATTCGACTTATTGAGAAATTGAACCTTACTACTACTCCTCACCCCAAGCCTTATAAGCTACAATGGTTGAGTGATGAAGGGGAGTTGGTTGTTAATAGGCAAGTTTTAATTACTTTTTCTATTGGCAAGTATAAAGATGAAGTCTTGTGTGATGTAGTGCCTATGGAAGCAAATCATATACTCTTAGTAAGACCTTGACAGTTTGACAAGAAAGCTATTCATGATGGTCATTCCAACAAGTTCACATTTATACATAAAGGGAGCACAATCACTTTAGTACCCATGACTCCTAGTCAAGTGTGTGATGATCAAATAGTCATGAGGTTGAGAAGAGAGCAAGAGAGAAAAGATGGAAAGAAAAAGAGTGAGCTTGAGGGAAAACTTAAAAATAAAGGGAAAAAAGTGAGCACACTTCCAAATGAAAAATATGAGAGCGAAAAGAAAAGTGAAGAAAAAAATCAACATGAAATGAGAGAAAATTTATTTGTAAAAAAAAAGGAAGTGAGAAAAGCGTTATTGGCCTCTCGGCCTATGTATCTACTTTTTTGTAAAGAAAGTCCTCATAGTGATTATATTAATTCTTTTGCTAATAATACTTTGCCTAGTGGTGTTTCTTCTCTTTTGCAGGAATTTAAAGATGTCTTCCTTAAAGAAGTGCCTCATGGCCTACCTCCAATTAGAGGGATAGAACATCAAATTGATTTGATTCCAGGGGCAACCTTACCCAATCGACCTGCATACAGGAGCAATCCTCAAGAAACTCAAGAGATTAAAAAACAAGTAGAAGGATTGTTAGAGAAAGGATGGGTGAAAGAAAGCCTAAGCCCTAGTGCTGTACCAGTCATCTTGGTACCTAAGAAAGATGGAAGCTGGAGGATGTGCCATCAATAATATTACTGTAAAGTATAGATACCCCATACCCCGTTTGAATGATTTACTTGATAAATTGTTTGGTGCTTGTTATTTTTCTAAGATTGATCTCAAGAGTGGATATCACCAAATAAGAATAAGGGATGGGATGAATGGAAAACAACTTTTAAGACTAAATATGGCTTGTATGAATGGTTGGTTATGCCATTTGGGTTGACTAATGCACCTAGCACCTTTATGCGCTTAATGAATCATGTGCTTAGGAACTTCTTAGGAAAATTTGTTGTTGTTTACTTTGATGATATCTTAATTTACAGCAAAGCTTTTGATGAGCATATGTTGCATTTGAGGTGTGTGTTGGAGGTTTTAAGACATGAACAATTGTATGCAAACATTGAAAAATGCACATTTTGTAAAGATCATGTAATTTTTCTTGGCTTTGTTGTTAATTCTAAAGGTGTGCATGTGGATGAGGAAAAGGTTAAAGCCATTAAAGATTGGCCAACCCCTAGGACTGTGAGTGAAGTGAGGAGCTTTTATGGGTTAGCAAGCTTTTATAGGCACTTTGTGAGAAATTGTAGTACCATTGCCGCACCCTTAAATAAAGTTGTTAAGAAAAATGTGGGTTTTAAATAGGAAAGGGAGCAACAAGAAGCCTTTAATATTTTGAAGAATAAGCTTATGCATGCACCGATACTTGCACTCCCTAATTTTGCTAAATCTTTTGAATTGGAGTGTGATGCATCTAATGTTGGGATAGGGTCTGTTTTGACGCAAGAGGGACATCCCATTGCTTACTTTAGTGAAAAGCTTAATGGAGCATGCTTGAAGTATCCTACTTATGATAAAGAACTCTATGCTTTGATTAGGGCACTCCAAACATGGCAACATTATCTTTTATCTAAAGAATTTGTGATCCATAGTGACCATGAATCATTGAAATATCTTAAGGGTCAAATTAAATAAAAGGCATGCTAAGTGGGTAGAGTTCCTAGAACAATTCCCTTATGTTATTAAGCATAAGCAAGGTAAAATGAATGTAGTGGCTGATGCATTATCTAGGCATTATGTGTTACTTTCTATGCTTGATACAAAATTGCTTGGATTTGAACATGTAAAGGAACTATATGTGCATGATGCTAACTTTGCTGAATTATATGCATCTTGTGAAAAGGGAGCTCATGATGGGTTTTACAAGCATGGTGGGTATTTGTTTAAGGGGAATAAATTGTGTGTGCCTAAATGCTCAATTCGTGACTTGCTTGTGAGAGAAACCTATGAGGGTGGTTTGATGGGACACTTTGGTGTACCTAAAACTTTAATGATATTGCAAGAACACTTCTTTTGGCCTAAAATGAAATTTATAAATTTTGTGAAAGGTGTGTTGTGTGCAAGAGGGCTAAATCCAAGGTAAATCCTCATGGCCTTTATACTCCATTACCTATTCCAGATTACCCTTGGATTGATGTTTCTATGGACTTCATTGTAGGTTTGCCAAGGACAAAGAATGGCAAGGACTCCATATTTGTGGTTGTGGACCGATTTTCAAAGATGGCTCATTTTATTCCATGTAGGAAAGTAGATGATGCTACATATATTGTGGACCTATACTTCAAAGAGGTTGTAAGATTGCATGGTTTGCCAAGGAGCATTGTTTCAGATAGAGATTCGAAGTTTCTAAGTCACTTCTGGAGGACCTTGTGGCAAAAGCTTGGAACCAAACTTCTATTTTCTACCACATGTCACCCACAAACAGATGGACAAACAGAGGTGGTAAATCGTACCTTAACTACTCTCCTCAGAACTATGGTAAAAAAAAATCTCAAATCATGAGATGAATGCTTGTCTCATATTGAATTTGCATATAATAGGACATTTCATTCAACTACCCTGCATTCACCCTTTGAGGTTGTTTATGGATTTAATCCTCTCACCCCGCTTGATTTGTTGCCACTTCCTAATGTTGCGTCTTTAGTACATAAGGATGGCAATGCCAAGGCTGAATTTGTTAAAAAGTTGCATGAAAAGGTGAAGGCTCAAATTGAAAAGAAAGTTGAACAACAAGCAAAATATGCCAACAAGGGAAGGAAGAGAGTGGTATTTGAACCTGGAGATTGGGTTTGGGTACACATGCGTAAGGAGAGGTTTCCTATATAAAGAAAGTCAAAGCTTCAGCCAAGAGGGGATGGACCATTCCAAGTCTTAGAGAGGATTGAATATGGTGTTAGTGCTACTTTTAATGTATCTGATTTATCTCTCTTTGATGTAGATAATAAAGAGTCAAATTTGAGGGCAAATTCTCTTGAAGAAGGAGGGATTGATGAGAATCAAGGAAGGCCCATTGAAGACAAAGACTTGAAGGCATTGGAAGAGCTTCAAGGACCAATGATAAGGGCAAGGGCAAAAAGAATAAATGGAGACTTAGAAAAGATTGTTGCTGTCTTATTTGAAAGGGAGCTCAATTTAGAGTTAGAAAAGACCAAGATAATCAATTACATATGCTTAGAGGATTTGAACTCTAACGAGTTTTATTCGGATTTAATTATTATGTTTAGTTTATTTATTTTAATATTAGTCATTACTTATTTTGAGTTTTTATTTAGGATAAAATCTTGTTATTTTATTTAGTTTATTTGAATTTAGGCTTGTTGGTACAAGAAGCCCATTAGGGTTTACGTTAGTATTAGTTTACAAGCATTAGGCATATATAAGCTCTTGTAAACACACCATTAGGGTTTGCGTTAGTATTAGTTTACAAGCATTAGGCATATATAAGCTCTTATAAACTCACTTTTAATTAGTTTTGAATATAATTTGAGATTGAACACTCTTGTGAGAGTGTATAACTCTAGGTTCTTGAGTGAGACAATTTTCTTTGATCTTATCAAGAAGCCAAAACTCTTGTTGCGATTGTTCCTTGGCTTATCAATCTTGCGATTGTGGCGCCATTTTCCATCTCTATTCTATTTTTACTTTTTTATTAATTTTCTTCTTATTTCAATTCTTATTTGTGTCGTAATAATTCCGTTTTTATTGTGTGAAATCCAATTCAAGATCGTTTAATTCGGCGACACAGTTTGTGGTTGTCATCAAATAGATTATAAGACCAAAATAAAATACATTATGCATATTGATAGGGCTGAAAAGCAAATATCTAATGTATTATATCAATTTTCTTATTTAAAGATCCAAAGTCTATTGATGACATATTTTCATATGAAGTTTAGGTTTCTATGAAAGCAACAATTTAACTTCTATTGGAGGTTTTAATTTTTCAATTCAAAATACTTCATACTGGTTATTATAGTCAACAAAATAAGGACTAATTATCATCAAACAACACTACTAATTGTTAGTAAAATTACTAACTAAAATTAATGACATTTGCTTAAAATACTTAAAAACAACAATTAATGAATAAAGTAATTATACGCTACAGCCATGCACATGGTTAAGTACACCAATACAATAGAAATGTCTCTACTTTGATAAAAGATTCAAACTACATGCATCATTACAATTTAGTTAACCCCTAAGTAAAGAAATAAACTTAGGAAAAAAAAAAACCTAACAAAATACATTTTAGTCCAAAGTAGAGACTCATTCCAACAACCAAAATCATCCAAAATCATTATCACTAGACACTATAAAAAAAACAAACTTATTCTTCATTGTTTAAGAAATGTGGTTTCCAATAAGTGTAGACGAAAAGCTCTTAACAAAATTAAAGTCAGAAAACCAAATTTTTTTTAATCATTCTGAAGTCTTGTAGAAGCCATAAAAGTAATATATTATAAAAAAGTCATTTCTATAACATAGAAAAATAATATCTACTTATTAATTATTTATCAAGTTGTAATATAGTTCATAATAATATAATGAAATTTCTTACTTTACTCAAAATTTTCAAACAATAAGATGAACTAAAAATACATAGAGCAATTTCATAAAAAACTTAAAAAATGGTAAGACTGGTCCTAATCTTCACTTGTAAGAACACCCTTTCTTTTATTTAACTCTTTAATATACTTTATATTAAAAGATATAACATATGAATCATCTCTAAATACAACATGATGCAGCAGCAACCATATCTCTAAATAGCAACAATATATTAGTTTTACATAGTATACAAAATAAACATTTTAGAATTGATGAGCTGTAGAATTGTATAGGAATATGCTTTGTTGATTTTTTATTCCTTCTTATCCCTTTTGGCTTTTTCTAGCATTCACTTTGTATATATACATTATAATCATTTGACAGAGAATATGTAGAATTGACAGAGTATACGCAAAATATTATGCCTATATTCTTGTTTTTATTCCTTTCTTCATTTCCCTTTTATGGTATTAGAGCCTTTAATTTCCATGGCAGACAACAAAAATTCTGATTCCTCAAGTCCTGAGGACAACATGCTACCACCTCTCCTTACTATCTTTTCTGACCCTAATCAAAATTCATCTAGTCCCTTTTATATCCACCCTAGTGAGAGTCCATCCTCTGTTATTGTTACTCCATCTCTATCAAGCAGCAATTATCTGTATTGGTCACGATTAGGGATGACAATGGGTAGGGTATGAGTAGGGTACTATAGTACCCATTCCCATACCCGCGTTTTAAAAAAATACCCTACCCAGCCCTATATCCGCGTGAGTATGAACATTAATCCCCGTACCCGTATCCTCTAGGTACCCGCATACCCATCTTGTGCCCATTATCCGCGCTTGTTTGAGAAAAAAACATTTATAAAAAAAATATATTTATATAACTTCACATAAGTGACATAATAATACAAAAATTCAATATATAGTTATCGAATATGGTACAAACATAAATAAAAAATAAATATTCAAAGATCACAAGTGCTAAATGTATCTTAATATAATAATTTTTTAAACTAAAATTTTTAGAAACAATAAGCGAAACTAAATACACAAATTATTTGTCAGTGATAACCCTATCTTGTGTGAGATTCGATCTATCGGCAATGTCAGAGCGACAACAAAATAGATCTGCACAATAGTTGTCCTTTCGTGTGGGATCACTTGGTGACCTCTTGTGGCGGCATTGACAAGTGACAACTAACTCTAATGAATAACGTTTCATAGTTATTAGGTTTTAATGAGACAAATATTGAGAATGAGAATAGAGTTAGAGTAGATAAGTTCAAGTACTAATAACGAAAAGTGGATACATAAAATATTTTTTTAAACTTTTGAATTTGAAATTGTAAGAAAATAATAGATTTAATTAAAATAATATAATATAATTAATATATATATGTATATATATATATATATATATATATTAAAACTAATATTTTTAACTCATATATTATACGAAAGTATTTTGTCAAAAATACAAATTTTTGAAAAAATATTTTAATGAATTAAATATTTATAATGTATATAAATTTTTTAAAAAAATTTGAATAAAAGATAAATGGTCACACTAAAATTTTATAATAAAAAAATATATGTGTATATTAAAAAAAATTATACCTTTTTATCTTAAGAAAAATTAACAAATAGAAATTAATATTAATTTTTTATATTTTATATCTTTTTAAAAACTTCTTTGAACGTGAATAAATAATAAGAATATTATTTAGATTCAATAGATTATAGTTGTACTTATAATACATATGTTGCATAGAAAAATATTATTTTAAATTAAAATATAAAAAATAAATTTAAATATTATCAATAAATAATAATAAATTTATGATAATAGTAGGTGATTGTAAAATTTATAAAATATTTACAATATATTTATTATTTATCATTCACTTTATGATTTAAATATCAATATGATTTTATTAATAAAAATATTTGTATGAAAAATATTTTATGTGTATCATATATAAAGAATATTTTAAAAAAAGTCAATCTCATGTTAACTATGTAATAATTAAATTGTATTAGCTTAATTAAATGATATAAAATAGTAAATAAATTTTTCTATTAAAAATATAAACCAAAATAAATTTTTTGGTTTACTTTATTATTAAATATATTTTTATATTAATCTTATATAACTTCACATAAGTAATATAATAATACAAAAATTCAATGCATAATTATAGAACAAAGTTCAAGCATATATATATATATATATATATATATATATATATATATATATATATATTTGCGGGTATGGGTACTTAGATACCCATACCCGCATCCATCCCCATTAAAATTTGCGGATTTTTACCCATACCCATACTCGTACCTATATAGCGGATAAATACCCTACCCATTGTAGGTAAATTTTGCAGGTGCCCATCAAGTACTTTACCCATTGCCATCCTTAGTCACAAACTTTTTGTTTGACCTTCATTTCTGAAAACAAGCTGGGGTTCCTCAATGGTTCCATTCTCAGTCCAACTTCTACAGATCCCTTATTTCATAGTTGGGAACGATGCAATACACTTATTGATGTCTCAAATTAATGAATGAGAAAGTGTACTAATTGTCATAGTAGTATCACTATATTAGAGTACCAAGTGTCGTATCCACATAGACTGTTAATTAAGATTTTCAATCTTTAATCACACAATTATTAAAGAACATAAACAATTGAATTATGATGATAAACTTGTTAGGATGAAAGATAACAATTAGAAAGAAAACATATTTCAAGAACAAAAGTCTATAAAATGAGACTAAGTCTATCTAGAAGAATAAAGCGAGTACCTAGATTGTAAATTCTCCTAAGCATTCAAATAACTAGATTTCTCCATCAACTACTTAGTTTTAATAATCTTAAAGCTGCAGGAATTCCTGATATAAGTCAATATCTTTCTCAAAGATAATGACTCATAACCCTCAATTAATTAACTGAAATCTTTTCCTAATTAATTCTCTTAGGTTGCATTAAATTTGATTGTGAATCCCATTATTAGGGTTGTCCCTAATACAGAAAACTTATGTCTTTCTATTTCTAGAATTGCATTCAAGTATTTTCAATTGAGCAATGGTAAATCATGCAAGATTTATACTCAAAACCAGAAAATAAGATAGGCGATAAATTGAATCATCAACCAATAAGTAAAACTACTCAATTGAACTTAAGGGAATAAAACATGAAATAATGTGAAGGAGAATCACAAAAAAAGGTAACAAAGGATTCTTACATCTAGGTACTCAGAAAGGAAATTAGAAATTAAACATAAAGAAACTACAATTCAAAATTAGAAAATAAATGAAGAGTCTTGTTGTTATCCCCAACTATAGTCGTCACTGTTGCTTTATTTAAAAGTGTCCCCTTAGATTTTTGCATCATCCTTCTTTCATAGTGGTAGTACCCTTACTTATTGTCTCACAGAAACTCAAATTTAATGCACAATAAAGTACACATTCAGGTACATGGTCATGTACTTGACCGTATACATATCTGATTTCTTAAATATTCACCCCTTGTAAATTTCTTTAAACTACACACCCATGTATATGGTCATGTACCTGAACGTGTACATCTTTGATCTCTTGGATATTCACCCCTTTAAGCTTCTTTGATCTATATGTTCAGATACACGGTCATGTACTTTATTGTGTATATCTTTACTTCAGGTGCTTTGCTTAATTTATGTGATCCGAGAAGTATACGAGCATATACACAGGTGTGTACTTGCTCATGTAGATTTCTAGTTTTGCAAGTCTTGAAAAGAAGTTGATATTACTTTCCTTTTTATCCATTAATCTTCTAAAGCTCTCACTTGTTCATTCTCCCTAAAAACATGAATAACAATCTAATTAATAACAAATTCTTACAATAGTTAACTCTAAATCTCAATCATTATTCATGAATTGCATTATAGGATTAAGCATGAAAAGGTACCAATTCAGTTACTGATTACTATACCATTCTCAAGTTTGTCTAGGAGGAACTAGATGATTTTCGTCCCCTAATACCTTGCTCATGCCTATCCAAAGAATTCCACCAGCAAGGCTTCATTGTCATATTCCTCAAAGATCTTGATGAACATTTTTCAATGGTGCAGTTTTAGATACTTCTCATCGATCCAATACCCTCTGCGAATCATGTTTTTTCGATGATTATTCAACATGAACGTCAACACATGAGTGTTACTTCTTTCTCTGCCGAACTCAATCCCTTCATTAATGTTGCTTCTAGTAAGGGCCGTGGTGTTCCACAGTTGGGGGGGAGAGGGCTAAAACCAATCCTTCTAACTACAAATGTGACTAATGTGGTCGCTCTGGTTACACCATCGATACCTGTTATAAAAAACACGACAACTCTGTCCTAAAATGTGAAGACTACAATCATCTTGGACACACGATGGATGTTTGCTATGCTAAGTTTAGTTATCCCCCCAGCCACCCTAAGTATCCTACATGGCCACGCATTAGCAACAAAAATACTCCATATGCAAATGTTGTGAAAGAGAAGGAGAAGTACGTAGAAACACACCAACACAAGGACTTGGGCCCAATATCAGTAGCTTATGGAAATCCTTTAACAAATTCCTTGCACTCTTGATGTGAGCCCAGATGCTATGTCTATTCAAGCCAACCTCTCTTACTCTAGCCCAAATCATCTCACTAACGATGTTTTTGGTATCACTTACATATTTTTTATCTGCACCACACACACACACATAATACCACCTCATCACAAACCACACCATGGATTGTGGATTCTGGAGCAACTGACCATATTACTTCATCTTTACATTATTCCATTCATACTACAAGATTAAACTAATAAAAATCAACTTACCAAATGGAAATATTATCCAAGTCTATTTTCTAGAATTATTTATTTCTCACCAAACTTTGTCATTCATAATGTTTTATATATTCTAGAATTTACCTTTAATTTATTATCTATTTCCAAACTCATTTCCACACTCAAATACCTCATAACCTTTTCTAATGATTCTTGCCATATCTAGGAAGTGAGCACATTGAAGATGATTGGTTCGACTAAACTAGAGGAAGGACTATATCATATAGTAATCAAGGAGAAAGAATCACCCTCTATCATCAACAACATTGCCACCAATAATCCCAGTCTTTAACATTTTAGATTAGGACATTTGTTTGGATCATCTCAATGTTCTACACCAACAATACCCTTTTATTCCTATATATTCTGATGAAGTGTGTGAAATTTGTCATTTATCAAAACAAAGAAAACTGCCTTATTCTTCTAGCACAAATCATAACTCTAAATTTTTTGAATTAATTCATATGAATATTTAGGGCCCATTTTCTAAAATTTCTATTCATAATCACAAATATTTTTTTAACCATATATGATTATCACAATCGATATACTAGGATTTAGACACATGTGCAAAATTTTGTTGCTTTGATTGAAAATCAATTTAGAAAACTATTAAGTGCATTAGAATTGATAATGGGCCAAAATTTTTCTTAAGGAAATTCTTCTCCTCAAAAGGAATTATTTACCAAACAAGTTGTGTTTATACCCCTCAATAAAATGGGAGAGTTGAACACAAATATCAATACATTCTTAATGTTGTTAGGGCACTTATGTTTCAATCAAATATCCCAAACAATTTTTGGTCCTATGTCGTTAAGCATAT